TTCCCTTTGAAACTGCCTGTCTAATGCTTCTTAGGAAAAATTATTTGCTTCCTAAAGCTACATTCTGGGACATTAGTTAAGAGCCCTGCAATTTGACTCTTTCTGCATCTTGCATGAGTTAACCATCTTGTATCACAAAGGCTGATAATTCAGTTTGGGGTTTTTTATTGCTATGTGCTACGTTCTGTGAGAGATGAAGGATTCTATCTGAATTCTGTGTCAGATGAAAATATCTGTGTTTTGTGGACTTTGGAGTGCAATATTTCAAGAAATATGAAGGTTATTGGATATAGTCCAGAGGACAGCAGAAAGAATGATAAGAGGTGTAGAAAATACAGCATATGAACAAAGTCTTTCAATCTTCAAGTTTAGTTGTTTAGTCTAAAGAAGAAAAAACCAAAAGGAAATTCATAATAGCCTTCTAGTGTGTACAACTTTACTGTAAAGAAGGAGAAAAACATTCCTCATGTCCACTGGGAACAGAGCAAAAAGTAGTAGGTTTAAATTACAACAAAGGAGATTTAGGTGAGACATTATAGAAAAAAAGCCCTTTCCACTGTAAGGATAGTTAAGCACAAGAATTGCCTGGGGAGGTTATGAAGAGGTTAGACAAACATATGTCAGAAATGATTTAGGTATAGCTAATCCTGCTTTGAGATAATGTTGGACTAAATAACCTTTTGAGGCCCCTTATAGCACTATTTTCTGTGATTCTGTGATTAGGACACTGTATTCACATTGTCCTGCAGTGAGATGTTTCTATACAGGGATGATATCACTGTATTCTGCACTGTATGCTTTGCTTTGTTTTTACTCTAAGCTGATGGGATGAACGACAATATGATGTTTAAAGGTCTTTAGCCTTATTCTTAATACCTCAGGAGCTTTGAGCAGGGCATTAGGAGCTCATCTTCAACCTGACAGCCCTGTTCTGGTTTTGCACCACCCGTGTGTCAATAAGGGACTTTGGTACACACCTTAGATTTAGGGACTTATACTGTCTTTTAACTTGCAGTCAAACACTTATATGGCTGAATGCTCAGTTTCTGCTTATAAGCAAAATGCAAACAGAAAAAAGAAAATAGCTATGAAAAGAAATGTATCATAGCTTCCCCACTAGTAAAACCAAAATAAAACCAGGCATGTTCTAAAGCTGAGTATAACTCAAGTTGTGAAACATCCTGGAACTGACAGATGGAGAATGATATTAAAGTGACAGATATTATCATTATTACCTCATCACAGGGACCGTTGAAGACGTCAGTTTAAGACTGTCCTTATCTATCCTCTGTAACACTCAAAACTCTTTAACTTTGTTCTTCCATTTGGCATTCTGCCATCCATCAGGATTTCAGTTCAGCTTTGCATTCGGCAGGAGTGTGTTCGCAATATTGCCTCTGCATACTGAATATGGCTCCAGCACAGCTACACAGCGGTGGGCTTTGTAAAACTCCATCTGGAGGAACAAGGAATATGAGGTTTCAGATTTTGAAGTAGTTTGGAAGAAATTGGTCATACGTTTTGGCAGAGCGTGTCTGATTACTGTTACTATTCTGCAGAGATGAGGTTGTCACAGCATCTGTGACATACCATTATGCCACAGCAGTGACCCAAGCGTGTAGTTTTCATGGATGAGTGTGTTCTTGAGCCTAGAGAGGAGATGGGACTGTTCTTGGTTTTCTTGATCCCTTAGGAACATGAAAGTTCATGTTTTCTATGGTGTGATCTCACAACTTTTTACATTTATGTGATTAGTTGCCCATTCTTACTCAAGGAATGAGCAGTATCCATTTTCTTAGACACAATCTCACTTTTTCACCTGGTAGGGGCAGGATGGAAGAAGGCAGGCTCTGCAGTGCCATGGTAAAGAGGTGAGCCAGAAGCCCCATCTGCAGATGTGAATCACATCTGTGGATCCTGAGTGCCACAGCTCTGTGCGATGGACTTAGGCTGCCTTGTTCTCTGCAGGCAGGTCCCTTAGGTGAAGGCTTCTGGCTTAGCATCTGAAAGAGAAAATGTACTGTTAAACAAGCTTATTTGCTGCTTACACCTGATTTTCTGAAGGTAGCCTGGTATTCATCTGATTTAAAAATTCAGGAGAGAAGCTGAATTCATGTGAAAAGAAAAATACTGGGTTTTTTTTACTCTACCACCTCATTTGTAGTCCTCAGATTTTCCCTAGTGAAGGGTTCTCTTGCAAATATATGTGCACATGTGTTTTGTATGGGGATACATTCAGTACTGTTCAGTACTGTTCAGTTGTATTATCTGAAAATACAGCCTATGTTCAGTACTTGAGCTAAAATTGTATCACAGACTGTTGAAAAATATATGCTGTTTAAAGAAGAAAAACACAGAATCATCTCTATTATCTATCTGATATTTGTAGCTCTTAAAGGAGACATCTTTTTTGAATAATCACAGAATAAGAAAATCACAGAATAGGTCAGGTTGGAAGGGACCACAGTGGGTCATCTGGTCCAGGCTTCTTTCTAAGGCACGGTCATCCCAGAGCACATGGCACAAGATCTAGATGCTTCTTTAATATCTCCAGTGAGGAAGACTCCAAAACCTCTCTGGGCAATCTTTTCCAGTGCATAGTCACCCACTCACTCACACTATAAAGAAGTTGTTCCACATATTCAGGTAGAATTTCCTGTGCATCATTTAAAGCAATTGTATCATATTTTATTTGAGGGAAAGTAATTAAAATCGTAGCCTTTGCTCTCCTTTTAGAGATAGATAATTCTGAAGTTTATTCAAAATAAGAGGAGTTTCATATAGTGGTTGTTACACTTCTAGAGTTCATAAAGTCATTAGGATGCCTACCCTTCCTAAAAAGCAGTCAAGCTTTTTTAGCCTTTCATGGAAGGGTTTATTCTGCACCATGAGATGCTGCCCCATGAAAACCCAAGGGCTCAGCCCCTGCAGGGTGAAGGGTGCCTGGGGAGGGCACACACCCACACTGAGTACTGCAGACAGGGTGAAGGGAGGGCTCTGGGTAGGGTTTTACCTCCCTGTGCCCAGCACATGAGGGACTGTGTGGGTTCCCATCCCCTTACTGTTTGCTCCATGCTGGTCAAGAGGACCTGGAGACCCCCCAGTGCTACTCCACTCTCCCCAGCTGCTGCCCAGCTCAACATCTGGATCCAGAGCAGTGTCTGAGCAGTAGTTACAGCTTCATGGGCACAGTTTTCTCGATACAGGTTGTCTGCTAGAGGCAGAGATAATGATAGCTTTCAAAGCTAATATGCTTGGCAAGGAGGGAGCTGATACTGGAGGGAAGGGACCAAGAAATCAGTAGTAATTTGAAAATATAAATGTCTACCAGGATTCAAATTTCAGCCTTCAATTGATTTCATCCACTGTGCTCTCTGTGCTCATCTCCTCCGGTGCTTTAGTAGTCATTAAATGAACTTGGAAAACAAGTTTGTATCAATAACTCTTTTTTACCAAAAGCTATTAATTTCTAAAATAACATAAATACAGATGTAATTGTGATGTCACATTGTCAGAAGCCAATTCAAATGCTTTTCAGAGACACAAGTACATGTAAAGTGGTAAGTATGCCAAAACTAATGATATTATTAGTTTGATTTACTGCCAACCAGTCACCTTTACGAAAATCAATCCCCAAGCTCATAAAATAAAATATCTCTCTAAAATTGATACATTTTTACACTGTCAATAATAAGAGAAAAGGTAAAGTTACAGGTTTATCTTTACTTTTTCCATTGTGTTACTGTTTGAAAGGTATCTTACAGATTGCTGTGATATGTGGGAGCGTGTATATGAGCAAGAGATAGGTTATGGAAGTCATGAGCTATAAAAAGATTTAAAAAAAATAAAATCGGAATGTTCTTTAGACAATTCAGATGACACATCTAACAAAGACTGTCAGTAAAATAAATGTGGCTATGTTAATATATTGAACCACTTGCACATGTCCTTATCATAATGGAACTTACACAATGGTAGCTCCTGTCAGATTCTACTTTATACATGCATACATGTTTGTCTGATGCACAGAAAGACAACCATATCTATTTCATTTCAGCTCAGAATTGATACTTCCATTTTAAATCACCCACAGAACATCTTCACTTAAATCTGAGCTTCTCTCTGATACCCTTTGCTATTTCTCGTGTTTCTGTATGAGTACACTGAAAAGAGGTTATAGGCAATCTGCTGAGGTCTGTGTGTATGGTGCATTTGACCTCTGGACAAGAAAGGAGTTTCATCCTCCAGTGCTTTTAATTCTTATCCTTGCAGAGACTGAATCTGTTGCTTGCATTCAAATAGTATGTCTCGTTAATGCTAAGAAGCAGTGACCCACATAGCACAATGGATTCATTTGTCAATCCAGCGATTTCTGAGCTTTCCATTCATGTATGTCTTAGCAGTAAATCGACTCAGAAATCATTTAATCAGTCTATCAATGCATCCTTCTTGTCAATGGTCTGAATCCTGAAAAGTCCAGCTTCTCATTGGGCAGCAGCAGGTAAAATAGATTTGGACCTAATATTAGGTATTCAGACTCTGAAAATTCCCAGAAGCTCCCAAATCACAAATCAAAACCACCAAAATCCTAAGTTAAAAAAGCAGGATCTGGAAATTATCTTGAATTTTGAGGATGTTCATGTTCTGGTCTAGGTCTGAACTTCAGAGTGCAAAGCTGTCCCTAGCATTTCAGAAACACTCTACACACAGTTACAGAAAGCAGTGCCCTTTTGTTCCCCCCCCCATGAAAAAACCTGAGCTTTCATTGCTTTTTCTTTGCTAATTCCAAGGGCTGAGGCTAGAGCCTGAATTCTTTATAACAGTCAGTGTTATTCAAATGTCAATCATATCCTTACTATGTTTATTTTCAGTATTTACATGTTTATTTAAGTACTTGCCATTTCCTTTAAGCCTTATATAGCCAATCAGGCCAACCAAGGTATAAAGGAACAGAACACTTTATTAGTGATATGCTTAATACAGTTTTTTTCCTCTTGTAGATGCAAGATTTACGGAATACAGAAGGAGCCCAGTATAGTTCCCATCCTCAGATGGCAACCATGAGGCCAAGGGTTCAAGCTGCAGATATTAGGCAGCCAGGAATGATGCAGCATGGGCAGCTGACTACTATTAACCAGTCCCAGCTCAGTGCACAGCTTGGTTTGAATATGGGTGGAAACAATGTTCCTCACAACTCGCCCTCTCCACCTGGAAGCAAATCTGCAACTCCTTCACCATCCAGTTCAGTCCATGAAGATGAAGGAGAAGATAGCTCTAAGGTAGGCTTAGATGCTAGGATTATTATGTAAATGATGGATATTTTTAGGACCTGCTAAATGAATGATATGGCCACAGTTATTAAGGTGATACTTTTTACATGATTGGTGGTTCATTGAAGTGCATAAAGGGTTATGAATACAGAACTTACAATATCCAGACAACTCTTCAGGCAGCTTGAGTAAATTACATCATTCCTCTTTGTGAGAGCAAACTGGAATGCTGTTAAACACAGAAGGGATAGTCATTCCTTTAGGGCTTTAATATAAGGGCTGAGTTTTCTCACTTGCATAGCAGGGATGTTTGTTCCCAGTTAAAGATCAAGTTACTGCTATAAAAAGTATGAACAGTCTGTGCAATATGCTAGTCTTTGCTACTTGGTCACAGGATGAGTAAACAGAACATCATAGCAACCAGAACAGAAAGATCCTATGAACTTTAAAAACTTTACCTTGAAAATCTGGAAGACCCTGAATGCATTTATACGTTTGAGAGGTGCTGACATTTCATCATGACATGTTTAAGCTTCATTTTCATGTCAGCACAGGAATGAAGTGATAAGAGTAATTTACATAATAAATTTCTTTAAAGGATAAATGTCAGTCTATATAGCAGGTTTTGCATGCAATAATCTCCCAAATTTCCCAAAAATCCTGAAAACCTCCTAGAAATACACAAGTCCATTATCTTAATTTTGCAGACAGAAAAGCTGAGACACAGGAAGATTGGGACTTTGTACTAAGTCATCCCTTAAACCAGGAATATAGCATCTCAAAACTGAGAACCTCCTTAGCTGTGTTTTGTGGTCAATAGAAAAAAGCAGTCCTGTTAGAGCACTCCTGCAGTGCAGCGTGTGCCACAGCCAAGTCTGGTGGGGAAAAGTTGCAGACTTGCAGGGAATGTGAAGAAAACATATTGTGAGTCACTGAGGAGGTACAATCCAGTCAAAAAATGTAAGTCTGATTTGTTTTAACATTATATTGTTTTTCATGCCTCAAGCTATAAAATAATCATGTAATTGGAGACATATGTTTTACTACATTTTGAATAAATTCTGATTCAAAAGTTTTATTTCAGTACATTCCCCTGATTTCACAAACTTTAGGTTTTAAAAATTACTGAATAATTCATACATTTTAAATGAGCACTTTCTTACTTAGGAGACTTTAGGATACAGCTATGTGAAAATAATTCCAGGCAGCCTTTACTTTTTCAGAATAATTTATTTGCTACTCCTGTTGCATTGCTAATATTTTTACATTGCTGGGAGTGTGCAAGGTGCTCTAAACTTCTGAAGAAAATATCCATTCAAGTAATTAGGATTTCCTTTCTACTTCTATCAAGTATTTAAGTTATTTAACCTATATTTTTTCAGGTACCTTATCATTGTAGCACTTTGTGCTAGCATAAGTGTAGGGTTGTGGTTTCAAGCAAGCAGTAGTTATCTGAAGCTAATGTTTTTAACAGAGAAATACGAAGAACTCCAGACTAAGTAAAACTTGGTCCTTTCTTTGTGAAAGCCAGTTTACATAGTGTTCAACTTTTAACAAGGATGTTATTTTAAACATCTTTAAAATTCTCTCATGCTCAGTCTAAGCAGAAAAAGATGACAAATGGTACAATGCACAACATAAAATTAAATCCAGAGTGCTAAAGTAGATATATTGCCTTAAAATTATATTTATAATTTCACTGCTAAGAGAAAAGTTTTAAAGGATATTACATTTAGTTAATATTGACAGAGGCCTTAAATTCTTCTCCATCTAGTATGGTTTAAACAGCAAGCTTGATGGGGAGCAGATAATGCTATCCATGTCTTCTGTGGGACTTCTTAGGACTTCATGAAAACACCTGAGGCTGGCCACCAATGGAGACAGGCAGTGGGCTGGCACACCTGATCCCGTGCAATGGTTCTGTAGTTCCCTCTGTAAAAGACAAGAGGGGTTGAATAATCAGCCTAAGGAGTTAAGTGTATTGTACTTTAAGATTTAAAGCTCTCCACTGTGTATCTTTTTGTCACATTGCTCTTCTGGAAGCTGCCAGTGAGTGGATAAGAATGCTCAAAATAAACCAGTTTTCTGTGGAGATCTTTCTCCCTAGATACAACAGTATTACATTTTCTCAGAGTTGCTTTGGAGGGGCCTGTGACAGTTCTCCCTCCAAAAATCCTCTTCCAAGTGAAAGAAGGCACTGGATGGGGACAGGAATAGGCAAACTGACTGTTCTGTCTTTTGTGAGAACATCTATCTTTTAACTGAATAGAACTTCGCAAAATTTGGATTTTTCTCTTTGATTTATAAACTATCATGCAGATGTGTGGCATTATTTAATAGATCAGGGCCAGAGCTCATTAGCTAGTCCTTTGGTAGGAGCTGCAGTTGTAGTTGTTGGAGTTCACTTTGTGCCGGCAGAGATGCTCCTGCCATGAGCACTGCATAGAAACCAACTTCCCCTGAACTCACCGTGTCATTAATAGCAGTAATGACCTTCTCCCTGTTTAACCAGTGGGACAAGATGTTTGCCTGTGTACCCACATTGATCAAAAAGACAAAGTACATTTCCAAATGGAAAATCACCTCAGCGTCAGATGACCTCCCTCAGTTTGTACCAGCTGAAATGTGTGAAAGAGAAGCCACTGGTCTTTTCATAGCATATTTGGTAGAGAAGTCCCTTAAAACTATACCTATTTCTATCTAGACAAAAAATACAGAAATCTCAATATCCTGTCCATAGTTACATGAATTTATAGAAAGAGCATGATGGAAGGTATAAAAAAGCAAGTACTTTATGTGCACATTTGGATTAAAAGTATAATTGTTGCCATATGAGCCATTGATTTCTGTGAATGAAGAAAATTACCATTTCAGCTCAATATATATATAGTCCAAATTCCAGTATTAATCTTTACAAAGGGTTGTAGTGTTTGTGTACTGAGCTTAGTGGATGTTCATTCTATGATAAATATTCAAATTGTTGTAAGCCTTATCCAACATACACAGAACTATGGCAGCAGCTGCTAAATATTACTTGGCAATACTCATTCTCATAAAGACTCTTTCATATAGGCTGTTCAGACTTCAACTGTCCTATATTCCCTTGCTCAAAAAAAGGGAAAGGAGCTCCATTATAGAGGGCTCAGTTTCCCTTCATGCTATTGCTCTGGAAGCAGGACAGCTGAGGTTGCCTGACCATAAGATCAGTGACAACTGTAGCATAATTGTAAGGTTGGGTATACATTCAGAGAGCTGCTAAGGCCATGGAACTGTGAAATGTAGCCTCAGACTAAGAGTATTGTGTCTGCACATCACTAAGGCTCCTGAATTCTTCTGAACTTCATCTGTGGGGCTATCATTAGAAGAAGAAAAAAGGGAGAACTTAAAAAATAGTAGTTGTAAGTACCTATAAAAATACTCTAAACAGAGTGGCCACTTAGCACATGCCTTATTCTGACCACCTCAACATTGGAATATTACATTTATGTAATTCTTGCCATAACTCACACTGCTGGATCGTTAAACATGTACTTCGTTATTGCCAAGCATAATTGTGAGCTGCTGGAAGCATTACTCGTTTGTAAATAAGTATTTCTTCGTAGACGGATAACAGGATTTTCTTCCATCTTCATTTGCATTCACTTATGAGAGAAATTCAAATAATGTATTTTAGAGGGAAGATAGCAAGAGGGCTGCAAGTAGCAAGAATTAAATAACAGAAACACAATTACTAAAGAACTGCTGCAGCATATTCTCCTTATGTGGCAGAAGTTTTACAATATTTACTTTATATGATAGGAGTTATAAGTGGAATTCTGTGTTGTCTGTTCAGCCTATTATGCAGATGGTGCTTGATTAAAATCTATTTTAAACTACAGCGATTACTGCAAGATAGTGTGCATAAAACAGCTCTCCTAGCTCCATTAAAGGCTTTGGTACTATTGCAGTTTATTTTAAATATGCTTATAGACATTTTCCAGGTTCTCAAGGGACATTTAGATATCAACGATGTGCCTTACTTGATGGTTTTAAATCCTACACTAGATATTCTTGTGATCTATTACGTGTGCAACATGGTTAATGTACACTTTTTTAAAGTGAAAGATTATTGCTTTCTTGTGATAAATAAGTTAAATACATCACCATAATTAAGCAATAAGCCATGACAGGAGGTGGATTACCATGAGCTAACTACACCTCCAGGGATTTTGAGGCACAAGTCTATGCCTAGCAGAATATATATGGTTTTTATTTTATTTTCCATCTGTCTCTGCTTTGGTGGTTAGAAGTGGAGTCTATGAAGCTGATAGACTGATGGGAGCATAAGGTAGGCCATCATCTCAGCCATTTGCAAGGTTATTAGTACTGGAATTCTGGTATTCTTTTTATTTTGTTATTTTCATATAAGACAAACAGAATTTCCCCTGTGAAAACTCTGTTTTTAACCGTGGGTTTTTAAGTCTCTTGATCATTAAGGTTGGAGAATAAGTTTTTAGAGCTGCTCACAGAACAGCTTACCAGAAGGTACTTACACAAGTTTCTGTAGTATATCACCTAGTTTAAGGGTAGTTGAGGTAATGTGGTATCCTAAAGTACAGAGAACTTTAAAATCTCATTGGTTCAAAAATAAAGTGAAAGGAGAAAAATGTTAGCAAATCACATGGGTAGAATTTTAACTATAGAACTAGTTATATCAAAGTCTTCTTGCACATGGAATTTGCACTGGACTTCTGAGAAGTTTGGATTAATGTTCTCAAATTAGAGCCCTCGTTAATTATACTTTAACTGCTGGTTTTGTGTACCCTGTAGAATTAAAAAATAGCAAGAGACAAAAAGCTGGATAACTTAATAAAGGGTAGCACAATTCTGTTTTTCCATTCCAAATGCTGACAATAGGCTGCATGTCTATTAACTTTGTATTAAAGTTGCAACTATTGTACCATAATGCTCAGAAAACTAGCAACTTCACTTTCAAGTTGTGGTCATCACTTTCAAGTTGTGGTCATCACTTTCTTGCTGTTTTTAGTAAGCCACAGAGATCCAGATTGTTCACTGGGTTCTGTTGGACACCACACAGTGAGGCATATAGGAGAATAAAAAAGTTATTTTTCTCAAAATGAGGATTTCCAGCCATTTTCCTCATGCAGTTCCAATGATTTGAACACCTGTATCCTCCTGTGCCACTTGATACACATTATTAAGAAATAATAATAGAAGGAAGTGAAAGAAGTCATGCTAGTAGATCCTTAGCCTAGAGCATACCATTTATGCTCTTGATCTTCTCTTCTCTTAAAAATGCTTATGATGCACAGTGCTTTGGTCATGCCGACAAAAGAAAAAAGCCTTTGAACCCACTAGTAAGATCACAGACCATTTCTACAGTTACAGTAAATTAAGTGATCAAATCAAGAAAAGCTGCTTTGCCACGGAGCTCCAATGTGTTTGAGAATCACGTTATTGTCCCTTTATGTGCTTGTAAGTCACAGAATCCTAGAATCATTTAGGTTGGAAAAGACCTTCAAGATATCTAATTTTTAACCTAATTGTTAGTCTAACTGTCAACCTCACACTTCCAAGCTCCCCACTAAACCACGGGCCCAGGAACCACATCTACACATCTTTTAAATGCTTCCAGGGAGAGTGACTCCACCACTTCCCTGGGCAGCCTGTTCCAATGCTTGACAATCTTTTTGGTGAAGAATTTTTTCCTAATATCTAATCTAAACTACCCCAGGAGCAACTTGAGGCCATTTCTTCTCATTCTATGACTTGTATCTCGGGTCAAGAGACCAACACTCACCTTTTTCAAGCAGTTGTAGAGAGTGATAAGGTCTCTCCTGAGCTTTCTTTTCTCCAGGCTAAGCAACCCCTGTTTCCTCAGCTGCCCCTCACAAGACTTGAGCTCCAGACCCTTTATCAGCTTCATTAGGAAAATAGGGTGCTTTGGTGTTTCACAAACGCTCATGTGCAGGGCTTTTTTCAGGTGGTACATAAATAAGGCACATAAGCTTTCCTCCATACACCACTCCTCTTTCACTCCTTTCCTCACACCATTTGCTTTTACATGAGCAGATATAAAAACTACTGAGCTAAATCCAGATAAGTCAAAACTGATCCTTTAAAGGGCTATAAACTGTCCATACTGGTAAAGGTTTGTTTCTTCAGACTTTAATTAGAAGGTGTGTAGGGGAATGTCTGTAAATTGAATTGCTTGGTTCACAACCAGATTTTCTTCAAAGTCTCTGGAAGATGTACCACCAGCTGCAGAAGAAATTGATTTGAGCAGTAGTCTGGGGTCATTCTGGGGAAGCACAAGAATAAGCAAAAGGTAGGAATGACAGTGTTCCTGCTGTCTGCAGATGGTTCCTACTCAGGCTACAAAGAAACTAATTTCATTTGAATTTTCTCATTATTTTCTTGTTTTAGCCACTAGCAATAAAACTTAGAAAAGGTGAAAAGATGACCAGACAGAGATTATAGCAATTATATGAAAGAGAAATATAAAGTATTTAAGAGGAAAATAGCATTATCTGAAATACTTATACTGAATTTTATACATGTGACTAATACAGATATTGTCAACATTTCAATTATCAAAGATGACAACAAAAGTCCATTTCTGCATGCAAAATCCAAAGTTTCTGTATCACAGAGGCTGTAACAGTGGTTGGAGTGAATTAAACTGACTTTTTTTTATAGTGCTTTCCTAATTTTATGTTACAGGTCAACGGTGGTGAGAAGAGACCTGCTTCAGATTTAGGAAAGAAACCCAAAACTCCCAAAAAGAAGAAGAAGAAGGACCCAAATGAGCCACAGAAGCCTGTGTCTGCCTATGCATTATTCTTTCGAGACACTCAAGCAGCCATCAAGGGCCAAAACCCCAATGCTACTTTTGGTGAAGTCTCTAAAATTGTAGCTTCAATGTGGGACGGCTTAGGAGAAGAACAAAAACAGGTACAATATGTGCTGTAGCTCAGAGGCTTTGTTTCAGGAAAGTGTTATCAGGGTCATCTGAGCACTGTGGGCAGCTTCTTTTGTTTGGCCAGGATGAAACTTGAATATGTGGCATCTCAGGAATATGATTTAAAGAGACTGAGATAAGGAGAACATAATTTTATTTCATCTGTATGAAACCACTAAAGGAGTTTACCTTGTTTTGAGATGTGACACAAGTTTCAGGATTATATTTAGGAATGTTTTATGCTGAAATCCGTGGGCCTAGGATTTTACAATGTCATTGCCCTGTACGTGAAACTGCTATGTGAGAGGACCTTGCTGCCGAAGCTTAGATCTGTGCAGTGGGAGCTGATATATATCTGAGCTCCCACTTAGAGATGTTTCCCTTCCCTATGATCCCATGATGCCAGAAGTGAAGTAGGGCTCACATTTACTCCCAAACCACCTGGCTTTTATGAAAAAGTTAGTGATGTGTTGACACAAGGAGACCTAGGGTGGGTGCTGGCAAAGGGCATCCTCTAGCATATATGTGGGCTGTGGAAATCACTTCCCAAGGTTACTTCCATCTCCCATGGAAGGCCTTGGTTCTGCAATGAGGCCAGCAGAGCTGGACCTGGAACTTTGCAGAAATCCTTCCAAGTCAGTCGAAGCTGTAAAAGTGGAAAACTCTGGAAGCTCATCACATTTAAGTGGTGACAGCTGGCAAATACCATTGATCCTCACTGTAGCATACCATTGCTCTTCTGTTGTTATTGGTTACATTTTTACTAACTGCCAACAGAATGGATTGGATTGATAAAGGAATGGGAACTTTAAGAAAGCAGCAGATATGGAAGGAAAGGATGTGCTGAGTGAGATTATATTGGCTACAGGAGACCTGGATCAGGGTTGATGTTAGCACAGAGAGTGGAAAAGTACTGGGAATGAACTGAATCTCATTCATTCATACAATGTTGTTACAAAATTACAGTTCAAAAAATAAGAATTAACAAAAACTTTTTAATGTTTTAATAATTTTTATGGTATGTAAAATTATTTGGGCTCAGGAAAAAAAAAATAAAAAGAAGAGTTACTTTGCTAATAACTGGGTGGTGTAGGTACATCTCGATCCTTGTTAAAGATACCTAATCAAGATTTGGCATTCACTGACTAACGAAACAAAACAAAACAAAACAAAAAAGCTTTTCTTATCTAGTGTCCACCGAAGAATAAGGGCAGCATGGAACATTTAGCTAGAGAAAAGGTAACTTTCTGAACACAGGGATCAGAAAAGTCATTTTGACTGGCACATTAGAGTTGTTTTCTTGTGTTGTGTCTTTCTCTTCCCTTTTTTAATATGCCCAGCAGAGGTCAACCTAAAAGACTGTAAAATGCTCATTTCCTTCAAGCTTGTCATGTCAGTACTAACAACAAAATATTAAAGCCTTTAGAAGAAATGTGTAAGGAAAGTACATGAAACCCCTAAATTTCCAGCTTTAACTTTGATTTCCCATTCATGGTTGAGAGCAAAATTTTAATAAGTCCTCCTGTAAGAAGAGAAAAAAATTAATTTTCCTTATCTCTGTTGTTTCAAATTTAAGTTGAAACATAGATGAATGATGTGTTATGGAGTCCATATGACACATGCATGTAAAAATAGCTGCAACTGTGTTTTTTAAACCGATTCTTTGAACAGTTTGGGTTAGCACATCTTTGTTGGTTTTTGACTCATTTTGCCTATTCATTATCATCAATTTAGCACATTTTTAAAATTCCAGGCCCAAGCCCTTTCTAATATAACACTGTACAAAAAATAATAAAAGATAGTCCCCATTTAAAAAATATATAATTGGCAATCCTATTTTCTAGAATAAATTTAAACTCATTTTTTATTCCATTAGGGATCTAATAGTACAAAGTAATGGTTACAAGACATCTTAACTGACTAGATAGTCTGTATTTTAAAGGCCTAATTTTTCAGATCCAGAGCATTCGTAACTGCTATGAAACCTATGTCTTTGGTAGGAAAATTGGACTCTAAAAATACAAATGATTAATGTAGCATTTGGTATTTGGCATTGAAGAAGCTTCAGAAATTCAAAAATAGTTAAATAAAGAAACAATAACATCATTAGAGGACTACTTTATTGATGAATTATACTTGCTGAAAAGGATTCAATTATCATAAAGCTTCTGGCTTATGTTTTGGAAGCTAATGCTTATTTTGGAATTTAAATAGAAATATGTTTCCAAATTATGTTTCCTGAATTGGAACTCCTTTTACTATTTAAATAGTAAATATAAATGAATCAGAAAGTAGAACATAATGCAGCTATTGAGAAAGAAGAATAGCCTCATGTTTTCATGCTAAAATGAAATCTTCTTTGTTCCTATGATCTGAGCCATCTTTTTCTGAAATGCATAGAATTCTTCTTGTTTATTCCTCAAGATTGACTACAGAATAAATAAAAGTATCGAAATCCAGTACAATAATGACCTTAGGGCAGTACATGTATGTCCAAGCCTTTGCAACAAAATTTTGATAACCTGGCATATTAGACTGTAGCTTGAAAAGCTTGGTGCAATAACCACATATGTTTTTCAAACTGTGAAGAACTAGAATAGTGTTGCTGGAGAAAATAGGATTTGAATGACAAAAAGGAAGTGGTGTTATGAACTAGCTGATGGTGGGTGCCTTACTGAAGTTAGGGGAGGGTTATGCTTAAAATGGATTGCACTCTGATACTCTTACCATGAAAATAATACAATTTATTAGACTAAAGCAGAAAGCAGTGTACTTCCCTCTTATTTTATCATATGAAGACATTTGAATTTTTGAATCATATGTTCCCATCAATTTCTGTGTGTAAAAGACCCATTTGCAAACAGTGCTGGTGTGTGCCTGTATTTTGTTTGTCCAAATCTATCTACACAGAGTCTGGAAGTTAAGGGGAGTTTAGTGGTCATGGAGGACCTTGTCATGGACTTCTCAAATTCTGGGTAGAGAACAATAATTATACATGATCAGAAGCAGGCACTGTACATTTTTCTTCATTTTTCACTGTAAATGCTTTCTAAAATTGTTCAGATTAATAAATCTGTGAATGGTGGGCAGCTGCAGCAGTAGTATGTTGAGGTACATTCTCCTCAATGCTGTAGCCATAGCACTGGGATTTTTTTTTATTTTTTTTCAGTGACTTTTCCAGTTCCTCTCTTAGGATCAGAAACAGTTTTCTCCTTAGTACTATACTTCTGTGCATCCCCTTTCTATAGCTTATCTATGTACATCTTTGCCCTTTGCACACTTTTTTAGTGCAAAGGGGAGATAAACAGCGCCTAGGAAAGAGGGATCAGCATGCTAAATGGTTGAGTTGCTGGCTTTCAGACAGAACACTGGTTTAAACTGGGTAAAAAGGCTATTTAGGTCATTTTCTGTCCTTAGATGTAAAAGGAAAGTAATTTTAAATCAGTACCAGATGTGCATGTACTAAATGAACCTTAAGTTTCTAATTGGAGTTCTAGTAAAGCTGTAATAGATGTGGCAAATTACAAACAAAATGTTCTTGTTTACATTAGTGTAACTTTAAAACTTCAGCCAAAGACCTTAATAAATGTTCTGTTATTCTAAAAATGGAATTGAATGTCTATTCAGCATTCAACAAAATTAATCTCTGGTGTAACTTCAGTGACTTAACTGGAATTCTAGTAGGAATTAATTTGGCCTCCTATGAACAGCTTAGTGTGCATACTTGTGTGTGTGAGTGTGTATTCCTGTGTGTTTGCTTCAACAAACTGAGCTGGTCCTACAGCTGGGAGAAGGAGGGATTCACCTCGGGCACCCAAAACTTACCAATCAGAAGAAGCAGGTGAAACAACTGTTTGAGTGCTGTGACAGATGCTTTCTTTCAAGCTGCATAATTCATAGACAGTAATATTAGCTGCAACAGTTCAGCTCAATAGCAACACCTCATTATTTTATCCCTCAGTATTTATTCCTATGGTTGACGCCTCATGAAATTACTGTTAATGTGTTTATATAAGGGCAGATCTGACACAAGTGGGAAGAATTTAATTTCCCACTCATTCTTTCCTGCTGATGTGTCCTCTTCCCCTGGTAGAAGTGGCAAGTGTAAATAGTTAATTTGCTTCAATTATGAGCCTGTCCTGCTAAATTAGAAGCAGCAGGGATATGAAGAGCCAGAATTATACATATGAGGCAGCTGACAAATCCTCCAAGCTCACAAAATCAAATCATTTACTCCTCATCGGTGCTCAAAGACCCACTAGATAAAAGCTGCAGTTTATTCTTTAACATCTGATGGAACTTGGATTGTATGTTACCAATACTTATGTAAAACTAAGTCCCTGTGCATTAATGTCAATGTTTATGATGCTGTTACCATTTTCACTATAACCAACAAGATTTCAGAGGTTTTAATTTTGTCTCTAAAAGTAACACAGACTGATTTGGCATGAAAAATAACAAAGCATGTTTTAAAAGTTTCTCTTTTGACCACAGGGATGTTTCAGACATAGCAGCACATTATCCACTGCTGGGATGGACGAGGTAGATCAGGCGAGGGTAAACAATTACAAGTAATGTTGGCCAACATTTCATGTCTCCACAGCTTCTCTCATGATGTGAGATACCACAAGTCAGATCAAAGTGGGTCCAAGATCAGTGTTTCAAGAGGTCTTGACTCTGCCTGTCGTCTGGGAACACCCAGCCTAGGTTGTCCCTCGCAGGGTGGGATGGCATCCCATCCCTTGACATGACAAATGAGATCATCCATCCCATGGCTGGAAGAGCCATCATGTGCCCCATTGCACTGCCATGCCTGTGGGGTGCCCAGTGTCAGGATGCCAGACAGTTCAGGGGACTGGCTGCTGAAACAGCTTCAGATGCTGCACAGACCACGAGGTCAAAGTAGTCAGAAGCATATTTTAAAAATTTTCAATTTCTTCCCTTATACATGCTGATAGACTCACACAGACTTTTGTTTATCTAACTCTTATTC